GCCACTCCGCAGGCAGCCTGGCGTCTTACGAAGAGCTCGCCACTTAGGGGCAGCTCGGCACTTACAGGTAGCTCGGCATAGGCTACTCACCACAGGCAGCCTGGCGTCTTACGAAGAGCTCGGCACTTAGGGGCAGCTCGGCACTTACAAGTAGCTCGGCACTTAGGGGCAGCTCAGCGTATCGCAGGAAGATCTCCTGCCTGACAACTGTACTTGACAGATCCGGAGACTTGCGCCCACGTCTCTCGCTAGGCGGCGCCGTGCCTGCCAATCCTGAGAGTTGTCCCTTGACTGGCAGAGCCGTACTCCGTAGCAGCCGCCTGCACCCGCCACCTCAGATCTGACAGTAACAGCTGCAGCAGAGAGACAAAGGCGGTTACACCTGACTTGACAGAGGCTGTTACGCCTGATTTGACAGGACACCACTATATAAGAACTCCGACCCCCAAAGACAAGGGGAGGAGGATGACTCTAGCTCTCTCATTTCTCTCCAAGCTCCCTACAATCATAATGCTAACTTAGGCATCGGAGAGTCCCCGCCGGGAAAATACCCCCGGGTCCTCTGATTCAGTTCTCGCAGGTTCCTCAAATCCCGCCGCCTACAAAGAAGAGGAAAAGATGGAGTTCTCGTAGGTCCCTTAGCTCCCGCCGCCTACAAAGGAGAGGAGATCACCTCATGCAGAGGGCAGTCGGGTTGCGCTACACCAAGGAGCTCCACCCAAGTAGCTCTCCACCAGGGAGCTCATCACCAAGTAGCTCACCACTAGGGAGTTCGTCACCAAGTAGCTCTCCACCAGGGAGCTCGTCACCAGGTAGCTCACCACCAGGGAGTTCGCCACCAAGTAGCTCATCACTAGGCAATTCACCACCAGGGAGCTCCATCATCCTCTTGAGTCACAGGCCACCTGGGAGCAAGTCAAATGACGAGGTACTTAGCCAAAAAATTGGTACGTGACCAGAAAACGGTTACATCAACAATAATGAATAATTGAAAGTTTATAATTTAACTTTCATTAAATGAAATATTTAATGGAGAATAATAAAAGTATTAATTGTAATTATTTATAATAATAATAATAATGTAAATAATTAACACTAATTATATATTTATAAAAAAATTAATATAAATATAAAATGATTATATCCCAATTAATAATTAGCATTATTAAAATACTTATTATTTATTATTAATTAATTAGCATTCTGATGTAATAATTATCGTAATTATAATTAACGAATTAATGATCAGTAAGTAATTATAATCAGTAATTAATTTTTATCAGAAATCATGATTATTAGTAATAATTAATTATAATTATTGATGATAATAATAATATAATTGTATTAATTAATATAAGTATTAATTATAATTACTGATAATAATAATAATATAAATAATTATTTCATATAAATGTTTGAATTATAAATTCTGATAATAATTCTAATATAAATAATTAACATTCAATATTTATATTCAAAATAATTAATATGAGTTAATATAAACATAAAATTGTTATTTATGAATTATTAATTACCATTATTAAAATCGTTATTAGTTATCATTCTGAATTAATAATGAGAAATATTATTAGTAATTAGTTAATATCAGTGGTTAAGTATTAGCAGTAATTATTATCAGTAATTAATTATTATTAGTGAGTTATTACTATTAGTAATTAATAGCTGAAATTAATTAATTAGAAGTCAATAATAATCACCCATCTCTTTCAAAAAGTTGACTCATCATCATCGTCATCATCAATGACAACAACTTTATAAATACATAATTTGATAAAAATAAGTAAATATCATTAATTTATTTTTTTTTTATCTTTTGGAAAACTGAATAATAGAAAAGTAAAATGGTTAGCATTGCAAATGAAAAGTTATTTGGATTTTTGCAAAAAAAAATATATTGAACATAAAAAACCAATTACTCAAAAATAAGGTCGTTAATGAAAGAGTAATTAAAATTATTTTGTAAATAATAATTTTAAGAAATTAATAATTAATAAATGTCTGAATTAAAATGGGTAATTTCAAAAAATAATTTAAGTAATTAAAATTTTCTATTAACATTTTTTAATAATAATCAGCATTACTGATAGATTAATAATATATTAATAATTGTGAAATCAATAATAATAATAAGTATATTATTATTATTGTTATTATTATTATTATTATTATTATTATTACTATTATTATTATTTTATTTTTATTTTTATTAAGTAATTAATTTGTTATAATTACGATTTTAGTTAATTCATAAAATAATATTTGCTTTTATAATTCTTTAAGTTTAACAATATTGAATAATTAAAAGTTTTATAATTAACTTTCACTAAATGAAATATTTATTGGAGAACAATAATAGTATTAATTACAATTACTTGTAATAATAATAATGTAAATAAGTAACACTAACTATATATTTATAAAATAATTAATATGAATTAATATTAATATAAAATTATTGTATCCCAATTAATAATTAACACTATTAAAATACTTATTAATTATCATTCTGAAGTAATAATTATCATCATTAGTATTAGTAACAATTAATTATAATTATTGATAATAATAATATAATTATATTCATTAATATAATATTATTAATTATAATTACTTATAATAATATAATTAATTATTTCATATAAATGTATGAATTACAATTTCTGATAATATTATAATATAAATAATTACCATTAAA